TGGCCCTTGGGAGGATCTCTCCTTGCAAGGAGAAAGAATTCCAACAATTTCTTTACGTCCGTGGACTTGATTTGGAGGCATAAATATTCTGACCCTTTTTAAAAAAAGACTTTCTCAGATTTAACAAATACAATAGCATTCTATCCTTTGTAGGTTTTGGGTTTTTGTTTTGAGACAGTCTTGCTGTATTCAGGCTGGCCTTGAACTCACTGTGTAGCCCAGGGTGGCCTCGAACTCCCTGCAGTCCTGCCTCAACCTGAGTGTTGGGATTACAGGTTTGCACTACTATGTCTGGCTTATTTTTCTTGTTTTTGGTTTGTTAACTGAATAAAACAATTAAGACTGGAGTTTTGGGGCTGAGGATGTGTCTCAGTGATAGAGCACTTGCTTGGCCCTGGATTTAATCCCCCATACTGTCACCAAAAAAAAGTTGACTTGGGTTAAAGAGTAGGGTGTAGTGGTGTACACTGTAATTCCAGCATCTTGAAGGCTGAGGCAGGAGGGCAACAGCAAGTTTGAGGCCAGTCTGGGCTATACTGTGAGTTCAAGGCAAGCCTGGACTACATAGCAAAGACCCTATCTCAAAAAACCAAAAAAAAGTAACAGTTGAAGTCCATATGCCAATATTTTTAGGACAGTAAGAGTCAAAAGCAACCCTGAAATTTTGACAGTTTTACTTGTGGAATTCATTTATAAATGTTAATGTGGATGCTCTTTTTTGAGCTTCCAAGTGGTCGAATATACCATGCTGAATATTAAGTTTTTGTACAAACTAATGGTTTTAAAGTGTAAGTTCCAATCTGCTTTTAGTGCTTGCATTTATTGTTAAGCTTTAGAATAACACTTTTCATTAGGTTGCTTTTCCTGGCATTGTCATGTTAAACAAGAGAAGTACAAATGACTCCTACTTAAATTTTTTATTAGCATTGTTCAACCTCATGGGTTATGTCTTCCCAATCTGTTATTTTCTAAATTATCCATAACTGCATTAATCGTTTAGTGCATTGTTTGTAATAAATTTTGGATTGATTTCTAAATCTGCAAGTTAATACTTGGGGAATTTGAAATTTTTAACTAAAATTGAGTATAAAAGTTACTTATACTACAATATAAATAGCAAGATTCAATGTAATACTTTTTTTTTTTTTTGACCTTTTGAGACAGGGTTTTGCTATGTATTTCACACCAGCCTTGAACTCTTTGTAGCCTAGGCTGTCCTCCAACTTGCAGCGATGTTCCTGCCTGAACCTCTGGAGTGCTGGGATTTCAGGTGTGTGCCACATGCCCAGCCTGACATTTGATATTGATGGCCCATCTGATCTTTTGAAAACCTTTCTTGTATTTGAAGAATTTCCGTTTTTCCCCTTCCCTAAGCCAGATTGTATACTTGCTTTCCCAGTCTTTCCTGCAGGTCAGGCTAAGAGTGTACACTTGGAATCTTCCGATCAGACCATAACCTCAGCGTGGGAGAGCTTTAGGAACTGTCCTAACTTTGCTAAGGGTACATTTGATGTTTGTTTTGTCTGGCCTTGAGAACGGCATTTGTAGAGACCTGGTCGTCCCTGTGGGTGTGTCATGGCTGTGCAGGGCAGATCTTTGAGGAGCACTTTGGCTATAAAATACCAGGAATTTCTTGTTTTACCTAGAACCTCCAAGCTTGACCGTCTGGCCTATCGAATTCTGTTCACTATCTGGTGGTGGGCTTTTTGTTGTTACTGTTTTGGGTTTTGTTGTTTGATAAACTTTCTTTTTGCTTAAACAATCAAAAGTGAGTTCTTTCATAAGCATTTAAAAATCCTGACATTAACACCTGGAATTCCAAGTAGCAAAATCTGAAAGATAAGATAGGACCACCGGGCCGGGGATATAGCTCAGCAGCACAAGCGCCTGTCTGGCAAGTGCAAGGTCCTGAGTTCGATGCCTGCTACCAAAAAAAAAAAGGGCACAGCAAGGATTGCTCTTCCCTAGGCTAAAAAATTGGTGAACCTGGTAAAATACTTGGCTAAACTGTTACTGTGCTTTGCAGTAGTCGGAACAGACTGGTGTGAAGGGAAGCAGTAAGAAAACAAGGGTGTTGGCATGTGTTCATCATTTGGGCAGCAGTAGTATTGAAGGTCAAGGTTCTACAACTCACTGACCAGGCTTGTTAGGAGAATTAAATACATCATATATTTCTGTAGCCCAGTCAGGCCACTATACCATAGTAGGAAGCTTTTAAAGAAGCATTTTGTTTCTCAGTTCTGGAAGATGGAAGTCCTCAGGGCACCAGCAGATTACCTGATGGCCCTGTCTCTGGGTCGTAGATGGCTGCCTTCTCTCTACACTTAAAAATTCTTGTCATTTATTTCTCACTTTCTGTATTTTGTCCTGGGATCTTCCATAAGTTTTTTTTTTAAGAAAAATTTACATAAAAGTATATTCTGTGTTCTGTAAGACTTTGTGGTGTTTGACAAATGTGTAATGTTTTATAGTCATCATTACAGTGTAATGTAGAATAGATTCATTGCCCTCCCCGCCAACAAAAAACAAACAAGCAAAACTAAACCTGTGCTTCATCTGCTTACTCAGCCCCTCTGTCTCTGGCAGTTTGCCATCTATAGTGTTCCCTTTCCCAAATGTGATATAATTAGAATCATACAATTTGCAGCTTTTCTCAACTGGCTGCTTTTACTTAACAGTGTTTGTTTAAGAGTTACCCTTTTTATAGCTTGATAGCTCACTTGTTTTATAAAATAATACAAAATTAATACATTCCTTTGATGGATGTACCAGTTTGTTTATCCATTCACCTGTTGCAGAACATTTTGATCACTTTTACTTAGTTACGAATAAAGTTGCTATAAACATTTGTTATGGCTTGTATTTAGATGTCCCCCAAAGTCTCAGACAGGTATAGGTGGGGCTTTTTTAAAGGTGGCTGGATCTAAAGTGTGTGATGCTGGGATTGATTCATGGTGCAGTGCTATGATTAAGAGTGCTACCCACCCTAAATAGCCTGCATAAGATACAAGGAATAAGCCAGGTGTGGTGGCGCACGCCCTCGGGAGGCTGAGGCAGGAGGATTGTTGCAAGTTCAAGACCAACCTGGGCTACAAAGTGAGCTCAAGGCCAGCTTGAACTGCATAGCATGACCCAGTCTCAAAAAGACTGCCCCTCTCAAAAAAAAAAAAAAAGATACAAGGTATAGAAAGAGCTGTGGTTGTCCCTTGCTGGTTTTGCTGCCTTTTGCCTGCCGTGAACTGCTTCTCTGCAATGCCATCTGCAGTGCCACCCTGCCTTGGAGCCCGCTGATTATGGACTGAAACCTACAAACTGAGCTAAATAAATCCTTCCTGCTCTAATTTTGCTTGTCAGGTATTTTGTCTCAACAAGAAGAAAAGTAACTAAACATTTTTATGTAGTTTATTTGGTGCATATGAACTTGTACTTTAGTTGGGTAAGTATTAGGAGTGCAATTGCTCAACTTCATGGTCGGGTTGTTAAGTCTCCCACAATTTCGAATTCTCCCTGTACTGTCATATAAATATACTGTCCCGTCTTTAGAGGGGACAAAGTAAAACCCTTGAATTTCTATTCTGCTACTCCCCAGCCCCCTGGGTTTATTTTTCCACACTCCAGCTTCTTAAAAAATTAGTTCATCTCCTTAACCCCACCTCCTTCTGATTACCTCTTCCATTGTATTTGGTTACAAATTAGACCTACACTTCCCCTAGGCCCCCAAATCACTCTTGTTAAAGACCAGTGGGATCTGTATCTAATGGACTCTGTTCAGTTATAGTTGACCTTTAGTGGCACTTGGCACTGTTGACTGTTTTCTTCCTGAGGATTGTGACCTCTGTTCCCACTATCATTTGCTGTTATTACTCACCGTTCACTCTCAGGTGACCTCATCTACACTTCTGGCCCTTAAATTTCTTCTATGAGTAACACATACCTGAATCTCACCAGTTTTTGTTACAAAGCTTCAGATCTTTATCCAGATGCCTAATAGACATCTCCACTGGTTGTCTCCTTATCTCAACC